CCTGAATTCATTAAAACTGAAGCTGTAGCTGTAAAAAGATTCATATGAATTAAAAAAAAACACGCTACGCTCTTATTTTTTAACTAAAAAAAAAAAAATTTAACTACAATCAACTACAAACGATTCTGGACCTGAATTCATTAAAACTGAAGCCATAGCTGTAAAAAGCTTCGTATGAATTAAAAAAAAACGCATTACGCACATATCTTTTTACTAAAAAAAAGAAAGTTTAAACTACAATCAACTACAAACGATTCTGGACCAGAGTTCATTAAAATTGAAGCGGTAGCTTTAAAAGGCTTCATATAAATAAAAAAAAAACGCGGTACGCACTTATTTTTCAACAAAAAGAAAAATTTAAAACTACAATCAACTACATACGATTCTGGACCAGAATTCATTAAAATTGAAGCTGTAGCTGTAAAGAGCTTCATAAAAATTAAAAAAAAAACGCGCTACGCTCTTATTTTTTAACTAAAAAAAAATTTTAAAACTACAATCAACTACAAACGATTCTGGGCCTGAAATCATTAAAACTGAAGCTGTACCTGTAAAAAGCTTCATATGAATTTTTTAAAAAAACGCAATACGCACTTATTTTTCAAAAAAAAAAAATTTTAAACTATAATCAACTACAAACGATTCTGGACCAGAATTTATTAAAATTGAAGCTTTAGCTGTAAAAAGCTTCATATGAATTTTTTTTAAAACGCAATACGCACTTATTTTTCAATTAAAAAAAAATTTAAAACTACAATCAACTCCAAGCGATTCTGGAACAGAATTCATTAAAATTTAAGCGGTAGCTGTAAAAAGCTTCATATGAATTAAAAAAAAACGCGCTACGCACTTATTTTTTAACTAAAAAGAAAATTTTAAAGCTACAATGAACTACAAACGATTCTGGACCAGAATTTATTAAAATTGAAGCTTTAGCTGTAAAAAGCTTCATATAAATTTTTTTTTAAAACGCATTACGCACTTATTTTTCAACTAAAAAAAAAAAATAAAGCTACAAACAACTACAAACGATTCTGTAACAGAATTTATTAAAACTGAAGCTGTAGCTGTAAAAACCTTCA